CCCGGGACGAATCAGACCGAACACAGGTTAGAGCGGCTATTAAGGCCTACCTAGTGGCGGTAAGGGTGGGGGAAAGTCAAAATTTTTCCACTCTTATGGCATCCTCAGAGTGTCGCCCTGGAGCCCTGTTTAGGGTCACCTGGGCCCTCCTGGGAAAAGGGGGGGTGGGGGACTACTTGCAGGATTGTGCAGAGGAATTTGCTGAACACCTGATGGATAAAATTGCTCAGATCCATTCCCAGTTGGAAGCCAAGCGTGGAGTAGGTCCAGAAGAGTTGACCGGGGAGCGTTCTTGCCCAGTTATCTGGGAGCGGTTTGATCCTGTTGTCCCTGAGGAAGTGGACAGGGTCCTCGGGGCTGTCAGTGCGACCACCTGTGATTTAGATCCGTGTCCCTCCTGGTTGGTTAGATCCACCAAGGGGGTGACCCTAGGGTGGGCCCTGGCGGTGGTTAATTCATCCTTGCAGGAGGGGGTGTTCCTGAAGCCTTTCAAAGAGGCTTTGGTCCGCCCTCTCCTCAGGAAACGGTTGCTAGACCCCACCCTCCTGGACAATTTTCGTCCAGTCTCCCACCTCCCCTTTTTTGGGGAGGTGGTAGGAAAGGGGGTTGCGCGGCAGCTTCAGAGGTTCCTGGAGGAAACGGATTATCTGGACCCCTATCAGTCAGGATTCAGGCCTGGTTATGGGACAGAAACAGCATTGGTCGCACTTTTAGATGATCTCTGGCGAGAGCGGGATGGGGGTAGTGCATCCATCCTTGCTCTTCTTGACCTCTCGGCGGCTTTCGATACCCTCGACCATGGTATCCTTTTGGGTCGGCTGCCGGGGGTGGGGTTGGGGGGCACAATGCTGTCCTGGTTCAGCTCCTTTCTCCAAGGCCGAACCCAATCGGTGTTGATAGGGAGTGAGAAGTCCAGCCCCTGGCCCCTACTGTGTGGGGTGCCACAGGGGTCAGTGCTTTCACCGCTCCTATTTAATATCTACATGAAGCCGCTGGGTGAGATCATCCGGCGCCATGGAGTGAGGTATCATCAGTATGCAGATGATACCCAACTATACATCTCCATCCCTGGTGCCTTAAGTGATGCTGTGACTACCCTTTCGCGGTGCCTGGAGGCTGTGGGGTCCTGGGTGGGGGACAACAGGCTTCAGCTGAACCCTGGTAAGACG